GTGTTTCTTTGGCTAATCAGAGCAAAGTATAGGATTCGGTGGTTTTTATCAGAACCAATTTGTTCATCAACTCCTGGAATCCAACCAGTCCCTTCCCTCTAGCATTTCTGTGCAAGCTTACTACCTCAGAGGAAGCAGGAGACGGAGTTACAGAGAAGCAGGGACAAGACAGGAGGAAACAATCGAGCCTTGCAAGTGCATGAGCTCTCACGTTATTTTTTTAATTCAAACCTTTCTAACAGGAGAGGAGAATGATGTGGTGAAAGAGATTAAGTCACTTCTAGTTTAGTCTTAATACAGGAAGTCATTTTTAATGCCCCTGCCCTCAAACTGGAATTATAGCCAGTTTCAATTTCTTCTCTTCCTCCTGACCCATCTACCTTTGGTGAAAGTGCTAATAAAAATAAAATGGTCCAGGCATGAGGCATGGGGGAGACATGAGAGGTCAACTTCATGCTGATAGCTGACCTTATCTTGCAAACGTTAAACATCCTTCGGTAACTGTAACCCAACAAGTAACCAGACATCCACACACATTTCCTTGTGAGGAAGTACAGCTCAGAGAAGATAAAGGTCTCATTCAAAATTGTCTATTAACAGGTCAGCATTTCTAATCAAAAGATCTCCACCATGTGGCCATCACCTCAACATTCCTCACAATCCCTGATAATACACAAGAAAACAGCGAGTGCCTTCAGGTCCTGGGATTTCAGTTCAAAACAGACATTAGTCAGCCTCTTCCAGAACACGGGTTCAGTTAGCTAGCTTACATTTGCTTTAACTCTCGTAATATTTCCTTAATGCTCCATAATTCTGAGAGCTGATGGTTTTCTAATGTAAATGAGGGGGTGTGCCAGGCTGGCTGCAGTTGGGGTGGCCTGGCTAGGGTGGATTTGTTCCGTGTGACTTTCACTCTCTTCCAGGGGCCAGCAGGTTAGTCTGGGAAGGCTGTCTGCACAGTGAAGGCAGAACACGAGGTGAGAGACACAATTCCCTGTAGGGCTCAGGCTCCACTCGTGAACTATCACTTGTGTCTCATTTGGTTGGTCAAAGCAGGTCACAGAGCTGAGACACACAGCAAAGGCTGGGAAAGCACCTCTGCCTCCAAAGAGACATGGGAAGAGTGTGGATGCAGGGAAGGGCCACAGTCTCAGTCTCCCACAGCCCCTGACAAATTATTTACATGGGGATGTTTCCACAGGAAATCCCAGGGCCTCATATAATATTAAGCATAACAAGGAGGTGTTAACACGTTTGAAATATACAGAAAATCGCATATATTAGTATAACCAATAGCCTTGTATCTACCTCTGATAATTAACAAATTAATACTTTTACCTATTTGCTTCTCATATTTTTTACAAAATATTTTAGAGTTTAAGCACTCTGTATACCACTCCATAATTCTATTTCCCTCCCTCTTCAGGGGTACCTATTATACTAAAGTTAATCTGTGCATATTTGTATACTTTTCCTATGTACACAGCCATTCATGAAGCCAGCCATAGCCTAGAAGGCAGTCACCTAGCCTTATCACTTTCTGTTAATATTTAGTCAGCGTTTCCAATAAAATTACCTTCTTCTTCAGATCACTTTTACATAGGTCCTACATGTGAACCAAATAGCTACCCAGGGAATATTCAACTTTGACTTGCTTCATTCTTGTATTTTTTGTGTGTATCTTACACTAAATTAAAGAAACGAGAGATGCAACATTCTGAGGCTAAATAATTCAACCGGCTATTCTTCAAAGAGCGTGGGGGCAATTCACATTACCAGAGGAAGAAACATCATAAGGAAAGCAAAAGTCAAATGTTTTCCATAGGAGTCCTCCTTTTTGCTGTCTTGATGTCAACTGGTAAGTCAAAAAACAATTTTAAAATCTTGGCTAATTTAAAAAAATTTTTAATAAAAGATTTAAAAGTCATTAATATCACAATCACAGCAGAAACTTATGTGGTTGATTACTAAAAATGGACTAGGAAGAATACATGGTCGGGGATAAGGGGTCCTCCATGATTTCCACCTGAATATTGTGATTCTTTAACAAGGGAAACAGAAAAGTGGAATGGAGGACTTAAAAGAAAAGTCTGTCAATCTTGGTCTAGGATTTAACTGGAACATCATTAGAAAATAAAGAGTCTGTGTAAGAATTCAATTTGGAGGATTCCTGATAACAGCAACTGGTGTGGATTAGGACAAGGGGAATGCTCCCTTAAGAGTCAGGAGAGAAAAATGAGTCAGTTAATAAATTGTCCAATATCTGCCTCAATTCCCAGGGATAAATATTTGTTGCCAAAGTGATGGTATTATATCTCGATCAAGATGTTGACTTGAAGCTTGGCTCAAAGGTATAAGACATTTGAAACTCATCTTCTAAAAAGTATATTAAAGAATATACTTTAAGGGCCATATTCTGTAGCTCCTCTCGTAGCACATATATTAATGAATAATAAAGTATCTTTAAATAAAATCAACAATCAAATTAGCTGGTTCTTGCTTTTGCTTCTATTTTGTTAGTTTATTTCAAAATAAAAGGGTGAGTTTGCTAACCGCATCTCTCTGTGAATGTTAACATTGGAAATCCAGGAAATTTAATTCAATTGAGTATTTACTGCTTACTAAAGAGAAGCTCTACCTAAAACAAGTGTATACAAAATACACTGAGAGAGCCACCCCTCCTCCATGCTTCACTGCTACACAATTTTTCATATAATTATTTCTACTCCCTTCTTTCCCTTGTCTTTTCCCTCCACTCTAGGCTAAATTGGTCTGACAGATTCTTATTTCTAAGAATCTCCCTCTTCCATGTTTGCAGATATGAAAGAGATTTATTTAGTGCTAAATAAACTTTGCTAGTTCAGAGTCTGTTTCTTCTCTAATTCAAACATTTTCTTGGATTTGATTATTAGTACTGGCAATAAAGGAACACTTCAAAGTTACTTTAGAATTTCTAGAATTATTTCTTTGAGCCATGCTGTTCATTTTTGCTTCACCTAAACATAATGGTCCCAAGTAATAAGCATAGAAAATTTGAAAAGCACAATCTATGCCACTCATTAGTCAATAATCTGAAACAAACTGTAATGATGGAGATTAATGCTTATAAATAAACAGTTATAAATACTCTGTACATAATAAAACAGAATTTTATGGCCAGGGAGAAAGCTAATTTTCCATCTGAATCCAGAGTTAAAAGGCAGACCTGCCCATAACCTACAGAAAGAGAAAAACTAGTGAAAACAGAACTTTTGAATCCACTGGGAGACATGTAAGATAAACAGAGACTGGAAATATGTGAAGTCAGAAAATCTGCTTCTCATGTTTCTCTTTCTTAGCACTGGCTGGACCATGGGCTAGTATCTGCGCCAGCAAGTCTTCCAATGAGATCAGGACGTGTGACAGTCACGGCTGTGGCCAGTACATTGCTCAAAGGTATTCTTATGGTTCTTAACCCCTCTGCTTAATGTCCTTGCCTCAAGCGCTCACAGTCATCTCTCTCTGACAGCAGGATTCAGAGATGAAAGCAGCTGTACTAGTGTTTTTAGAGCAGCTTCCAAGACCTCTGCTTCAAGTATGGGCTCTGAATTGGGAACACAGCATGTAATAAAGAAAGAGGGAGGGGAACAAACATAACAATCGTCATCAATCTGATTTTTCAGGTTCTAGCCTGTTAGGCAGGAGAAGAGGTTGGTAAGAGTGAGCATAAAGACAACAGTGAGGCTTGTCAGAGACAACTTAAAGAACGCTCACAAGCTGGGATCGTTTCGTGTTTGTGCTCCATTCACCCTAATAAATTCAGGAGTTATCACTCACTGTATTAAAATATCATATACAGTAAATGATTTTTTTTTTAAGATTTTATTTATTTGACAGAGAGCACAAGCAGAGGGAGAGAGAGGGAGAAGCAGGTTCCCTGCTGAGCAAGGAACCCAATGTGGGACTCGATCCCAGAATCCTGGGATCATGACCTGGGCCAAAGGCAGACGCTTAACCGACTGAGCCACCCAGGCGTCCCAGTAAAT